GGTGATATATAAAAAGGGTAGACAGAACACTAATGCTGACGCATTATCAAGAGCTCGAATCTATCACAACAGCATTGATTCACTTGCTGTAAATTTTGACGATATCGATGACGATGACATGATTAACAGAATATTCGATAATGCTCGTAGGGAAGCGGAGGCACAAAATAGGGCGACAGAAAATACTAGTGACAATCAACAACGAACTGACACTCAGACACAAACTAACGTTCAACAGCAATCCGACATACAATCGACGACAGACTTAACCGAGAGTGAACAAAGGAGTGAGATGACAGGTGACCCAGAACAATTTGTATCCACTAACCATACCCAACCAGAAAACGACAATAATGGTATCCCTATACTATCTGACGCGATTGACAGGCAATTAAAACAATTCCACATAAGGTCGACTCCAGGTTCAGAATATAGAGTAGAAAATAGGTCTACTAATGCTAGAATTGTAATAAAGGACGTATTTATCCCCGTTAACAACACTGAGTCTGAAATCATTAAATTCCTTAAAGAACACACTATTGCTGGCCGTATTTTTCACTGCTACTTCTATGATGAACATCTATACTTAGACTTCTCTAGAGTTTATACAACGATTTTTAATGACAGAGGCCCTAAGTTAATAAGATGTAGCAATCGCGTTACGTTAGTCGAAAATAGACAGAACAACAAGAATCTAAAAAAGACACATGAAGGCAAAACTATGCATAGAGGTATCCAGGAAACCCATAAACAACTTCACAGAAATTATCATTGGCCTAATATGCTACTTTCTATTCAAAGGTATATAAATCAATGTGAAGTTTGCCTAAAGTCGAAATATGAAAGAAATCCCTTAAGACCACCACTTAGTTTAACTCATACCCCCACTAAACCTCTTGAACACTTGTTTATGGACCTTTATTCCACTGGAGGAGCTACATTCTTGACCGTAATTGACAATTTTTCGAAATTTGCTCAAGCTTTACCTTTAAATGCTGCAAGTAGTGTCCATATTGCTGAAGCATTAATACAAGCATTTTCAATAATAGGCCTACCACTAAAAATAACAACCGATTCTGATAGTAAATTTGACAATGATGTTATAAAGGAAATATGTGCGTCACATGATATTAACATTCACTTTACAACACCATACAACCCTAACTCAAATTCCCCAATAGAGCGTTTCCATTCAACTATCGGTGAAATCATAAGAATACAGAGGATGACAAATAAGGAAGACCCAATCCAACTAATCATGAATTACGCAATCATCGCTTATAATAATTCCATTCATTCCGTAACAGGCTATACACCGAGAGAATTATTATTTGGCCATACAGCTTCCAGAAATCCCTTAGAGTTATTTTATCCCAAGGAATTTTATCAGGATTACGTTCTTAAACATCGTAAGAACGCAGAGGCAGTCCAGGAGTGTGTAGCGGCACACATGGCCAAAAATAAGGAACAGGTAATAGCAAAACGTAACCAGGCAGCAGAGGAGATCACCTTTAAGGTAGGTGAGATGGTTTACAAACAGGTGGCGAAGACGGCACGAAACGACAAAACAAAACCGGTTTTCAAAGGCCCATATAAGATAATCCATCTCCACCCAAACAACATTGCAGAAATAGTAGGAAGTCATCCAAATTCCAAATCAATTAGAGTACACTACAAACTTTTACGTAGACCCCATCTTGTTCCAGGACCTTCATCGCAGGAGCCTGCGTCCTCCACGCAGCAGCCAACATGATCCTTAGTCCTGTCAATAACGATAACGGCATACTATTGCTTAAACAAGGACAAGTACTTAAACAGGTTGATACTTTTAGTTTGGCTTGCCTCTATAACATTTCCCACTTACACGAAATTACAATGAAAACTATATCATTGTACGTTAGCGTTAAAGCTGCCGAAACTAGGACCTTAGGAGATAATGAAAACCATTATAAGACCTATAAGGACCAGATAGATTTTAGTTTAAATTTAATAAGTAAGAAAATTATGTTTATTGCACCACATACTAGAATTAGGCGAGGTATAATAAATGGCTTAGGATCAGTCATCAAATCAATAACAGGAAACTTAGATTACGAAGATGCATTGAAGTTTGAAAACGAAATTAAAAATTTACGTAATTCAGTTAGCAAAATTCAAACGTCACAAAAACGAAATATGTTTATAGCGGAAAACACTATCGGAGAATTTAGTAAACAAATACAAGTAATAGACGAGAATCAAAAGAAATTAGCCAACTTATTAAGAAATACCTCTATTAGTAATAACTTAATAATTAATCGCATGCACTTTTTAGATTTATATATTCATAATAGATTTTAGTTTAGAGCTCTTATTAGACAAAACTTACCATCCTAAAGATGCAATGACATTTGCACAATTAGGCGTAATGCACCCCAGTATAATAGATTCATATAGTTTACTAAATGAAATTACCAACATACAAAAGCTAATCCAGTTTAAAGCAGTAAATAACATAAACATAAAATACATACATAGCATAGAAAAGTCTATTACCGTAAAAGCATATAGCACCGAGCACACATTAACATTTATTTTAGAGATACCTTCCATTGATCCACACCAATTCGACCTCCTTCACATCTATTCCATCCCTGATAAACAAAACTTTACTATTATCCCCAAATCCAAATACCTAGCACTGGGTAGCGAGGAGTATTCATACCTAGATGAAGAATGTAAGGAGATCACCCAAGATACACATCTCTGCACTTCGCTCAATACCCAACCCATAGATAAATCAGATGACTGCATCATATCCCTCGTGAAACACCAGGAGACGAACTGCACCCGAGCAAAGATGAATCTCAAACACGGGAAGATACAGAAGATTGAGAAAAATAAGTGGCTACTAATACTGAAGCAGGAGGAAATCCTACGAAGCTTTTGCGGAACCAAAACCGAATATAAGAAGATATCTGGCATCCAAATAGTAAGCATTACCAATGACTGTCATCTGGAAATTCTAAATCAAACCCTAAAGACACACACGAACACTATCACAATAGACGAAATGATACCATTGCCAAACACACCACCTATTGCTGAAGAAACTGTCCACTACCAACTACAGCTTGAGGACATTTCTTTAGACAACATCCACGAATTGATGGACCGGGCAGAAGACATCCAATACGAAGATGACGTCGACTGGCAAATTCTAATGGCCATACCAAGTTGGTCGACCATTGCACTATACCTGATCATCGCAGGATTAATCACCTGGAAAGTAATTCAATGGGGACAACGCAGTCAGAGGCAGAAACCAGATGACAACCACACCGAGGACGCTGTGGGAAGCCGCGGGACGCGCTTCCAGCTTAGGGAGGGAGGAGTTAAGCAATCAATGGACATGCGCCGCACCCATGATTGCTGACCAAGTTCCGGACGATCAGCACGTGTAGCCAAAAGTGCATAATTAGCAATAAGTTAGAATTAGATATTACTTATTATTATAATCAGTCTTGTAGAACCATTGTAACAATAAACATTAAAATTAAATTCTTTTTAATTAATTTCTCGATCGCCGTAACTTAACTAGAGGCGTGTCTTTTTTAATATTACTATGTAATGGTACGAATTTAATTTTATATTTCATTTCTAAGTAAACAGTGACACATCTCTATCATTTTATTTTCTAGAATAAAAGTGAGTAGACTTATCAACCGCTATGTAGTTTAGCGATACTAAAATTATAATATAGGTACTTACTTATTAATGACACTAAAGAGAAATGTGTGTATTGACTTCAACATTTAATACATCAACGTATTTAAACCATTGGATAGTCCTGGGTCAAAAATAAATTATTTTGATTTTTCAGTCCAATTAAATATTGAAAAATAGTTACACTTTCATTCATTGATTTGCCGATATACTTAATTTTCGATTTATTCTAGCATTTTTTTTAGATATAAATGTGCTATTGGACGTGAAAATATGATGACGTCATAAGATGGTATTTCGTACAAAATTCAAAGAACAGTATCGTTTTTGACGTTTCGATAAAAGTATTGAATTTGACTAGTTGTCAACTACCGTATTCTCAACAATAATGAGATAAAACGACCATGTGGTACTGCTGAACGTCTTTTTAAATGTTTATTTATTTATCATTATCATTGTCTGTCCTCATAAAATATTCCAGCTATGATTACAATCTTACATAGAATCTTAGACATGCAACAATTAGTTATGAACTAATTTGTAACACTTCGAATGAAGATGTTTCAGTCGAGAATTTTCAGTGATCGACAGAAACAATAGCATTGTCCTACTTCAGTGAGAGAAACAAGCGCCAAGTTGACATTCTTTCGTATTGACAGTGGAAACAAAACATTCATGTGTATCTAATAGAAGAAATTGTATAAAGTGTTGCTTTATCGTACTGTATTGTCTCTGTGCAGGGGCAAACTACAACCTGGGACAGATTTCATCCGGTCCGACTTTTTTTTTTAAGGGGGGAAAATCATCGAATCACTGCTCCCGCCTGGATGAGGCGGGAGGGAGTGTCAGACTCTTACTGACTAAAAACCACCCCGTTCCTTCCCTGCACGTCGCCGGAGCCCCGGTAACCCATTAGGTTCTCCGTCTATAGTCCTTCGAAATGGTATCTAATGAATACGTATGTTTGTAATCAGAGTCGCTGATACGTTTACACTAGCCACCTTGCAGATCGCGGGGTATGAAGTTCTTTATACCATGAACATGGAAGATGTTCACAGGAGAACTCTAAGTTATCCTCTGAATTGAAGATTTTTCGTTAGAATTTGTTCATGAAATACGTTTACCTACCACTGACCTAGTAAATGTTAGAATCGAATTCCAAAACGCTTTACTTCTCTCCAAAGTTGGGTTGTATTATATCACAATAATGTATGTACATTCCTCGCTGTAGGAATGTTGTCTAGGAAATTAAGTATCAATCACATAGTAGGCTTTTTAAAGAGTGAATCACTTACCCTTATGTTTGATCACTTTAGGCGCAGCTGGCTTCTTTTTCTGTGAAATAAAAGATACAAATTAAAACATGAATAGGTATAATAACGTGAATCCAAACCAATATGAATCTTATGATAGTAAACTTAATGTTTGATTTCATTTAAATATCATATGAGTAATTTTAAAGTTCAAAGGTATAATTTCAATAATCATTCAAGTTTATGACAAAATGTGGTGTCCAATGTATAAAAATAACAAGTAACAAATGACTCAGAAGACAGAATGTAGGTAACATTGAGTTAGTACAAACATCGACTGAACATGTAATACATAAATATTGCTCATTTCCTTAACTGTCTGTTGATAGGCACTTATGCACTATCGTATTCGTATCCTACATTCTATAAACATGGTAATGTGTATTTTTTTCCGCGTGACAATGATATGGCCCTGAAAGAAGACACGCGTCTTATTTACTGGGCTAATCTATTGATGATTTAAGTAGGTACATTACTATATAAAGTTCTCATCATAAACAGCCTATGAATACCCACTGCTGAGCAAAGCCTTGTGAGAAGCGCAAGATAAGGTTTGAGCATTAATCACCACGCTTGCTCAATATGGGTTGGCGATTACAAACATAAGTTTGTTTTTAATTATAAAATTAGAAATTATAAGTCCAGGTTTCCTCACGATGTTTTTATTCACCGTTTGTCAGTGGTGTCTAAATAATCTTTAGAAAGTGCATATAAGTCGGAAAAAGTCACATTGGTACTTGCCATTGGTAGGTTTCGTACCAGCATTCTTATGCATGAGAGGCAGGCGTCTTAAACCTCCGGGCCACAACGACATTTTAGTATTTAAAGCTCTAGATAACCTAAAATAGATACTAGATCTTTTATACTAAGCTGCATTTCAGTTTAGGAGCACACCAGTGTAACGTGAACTACGATGTAGGTAGATATTTTTGGAGTTGTTATTTTCCTAAAAACTATTCCTATAAGTTTACATAATCTAATGAGAGATCAGACTATACTGGCAGTAAGTGAAAACCTATAAATTAAAAACACATTCACGCATAAAAGTATAATTGCAGTGAGGCGGTAACAAACAAACGAAACAAGCTACGAAATACATATTGCGTTTTATAAATACGTTTCGTAATGTTATTTTCACGTCTGGGAATACATATATCTACAACTTGCTAGATCTATTAATAGAATTGTAGCGTTTTTATGCTTTTATATTTTTGTGTCCCCCAATAGTTGATTTTGCACTTCTCTATCTCATTTTGTTGAGAGATCTATAGGTATAGTCAATTAAAGACAATCTTTTCTGTTAGCAAGATCAACTTAAGAGTACTCCGACATATAAAATTGGTAGAAGAATGATTTTTTTTCTTAAAAATGTTGCCCCATACTAACATTTTCTCCTGTGTCGTGGGTGCAACAAACATATAAGTTCACATACACATGACATCCAGACTCGGAACAACAATCTGTGGACCATATAAAGAGATCCGTGCGGGAATACGAACCCGCGACACGTTGCGCGGCAGCCAGTTGCCCAACCACCGCGCCAACCCTGCAGTCATTTTGCATGCATGCAGATTGAGATGATGATGGTGCATCTGTACATTAGGATAGATCCTAGCTCACAGAAATACTTTTGGTTTAAAGACAGAATTGATCTCTTTAGGGATTTATTTTGGATCGGATTTAGGGCCGATACTTCCGACGCCAGATAAATTTTAACCGAGGAATAAAATTAATAATTTGACAATCTTATACTATTATTTATTTATTTATTTATTTAACACTTTATGTACAACTGTATACAATGGCGGACTTAATGCCGAATGGCATTCTCTACCAGCCAACCATAGGGTGATGCAGAGAAGTGTTACAGTAGGTTTCAAAAGAAGTTTTCATCTATCGAAAAAAATAAATAAAAACGAGGGTGATAAATGTACGTACATATGTATAAAGGTATCCTAGTACATAAACTACATACCAATACTACATACTAATATGAAGCATAAATAAAAAATATATATAAAGCGGAACATAAATATTATATAAAGCGGAAGAGTTTGTTTTTTTGTTTGTATGTTTGTTTGAACGCGTTAATCTCCGTAACTACAAGTCTGATTTGAATAATGCTTTTTGTGTTGAATAGCGCATTTATCGAGGATGGCTATAGGCTATAAAACATCACGCTACGACCAATAGAAGCTGAGCAGAGCGTGTAAAACAGCGCGGAAGCAACTAGTTCTTCTATACTAAAAACTGTGAAATGTAAATTTTATACTACAGTTGAGAATTAAGTGATTGAAAAATTATTAACCCGCCCTTAACCCGTCGAGGGTCCGCGATCTTTATGATCCAACGGGTGCACACGTGACATTTGGAGCATTTTTTCTTATGATCCACCGGGTGCTCATAAGGACGCTCGAGAGGTTAAAAGGTTTATTAATTTCAGTTGAATAATCTATAGTTATTAAGTATTTCATACTGTTTACTGCGGATTCTAGATACAAATGGTTAAAAATATATAATTTAGATAAAAAGTAGGCTACTTACATCCATGCTGAGTATGTTCTCGACCTTCTTGTTGTTGCACATGCCGATGAGCTTGCACATGGTCTCCGGCGAGGTTTCCGACTGCAGCACATGGTTGATGTATTGTTGCAAGTATGCCGTATTGTCCTTGCAGATCTTCGAGACGGCCGGGTACGGCAAGTCTTTGCATTCTGATGCCACGCGGGAGGCCAAGTAGTCCTGGTTGAATATAAACGTTTGTTTTTTAGATTTTTTAATTGAAGATGGATATTATATAGATCATCACATTTTGTATCCAAAAGACTGCCTTGTTATCCGATTGGTCGCAAGTGCGACTGCCTGGCTAGGGGTCTCGGGTTCGATTCCCGGGTCGAACAAAGTACTACTTCGTTTTTACAAAACTCTCAGTGGTAGCACGGAGTATGGAATTGTGCCCTGTAAGTATATGGCAATAGGCTCACCTCCTATTACATGGCACTCATAACATAAATAGTGAAAAGTGGGTGTTACATTGTACAGTGGTATTAAGTCCGTAATCTGTACCTCTGCCTTCTCCTTCGGGGATAAAAGGCGTGATATTATGTTATGTTGTATCCAAAAGAGTATATTTACAGCAAATTTCCTTGCTATCCCCCAGTTTATTTATTAATCTCATATCATAGGAATATAGAATATAATATACAATCATAGAATAAATCATAGAATCTATTAACATGCACCGAGAATAAGCTGACTTCGCAATAAGATTACCAAGTAAACAGGGCAACCAAGTCTATCTTGCTACCTCAGATCACATCGTTTTACTTCTCTGACGACGTTTCGGTTGATGCCATCCAAAATTTCATTCAAGAAAGAAAATATGAGTAAGTCCCTAATCTAAGGAAATTGGGTCATATTTATTGTGAATGAGATAACTTTGATAAATCCCTTATCTAGTCTCAAAGCTTGGTATGTGGGCTGATATTAGTTTTCTCCGCTCCTATTCTATGATAAATTAATTCTTAAGATTTTGACTGTTAATAAAAAACTGTTGAAGGTAAATCCTACGCTAACGTCGGTCACCGGTGTCTCCTATGGCGTTTAATGTGTTAACAATGATGAGACCAAAACAGGCCGTGAAGGAAAAAGACAAAAATGGTCACATTGTAGTTAATAGGTACTGCATTACCAATTCAGCTTCTATTAAACTATCAATAAAATGGTATCCGGGTTATAGGTACCTTTCAGATTCAATTATCGTAAGGAATACCATTGTTAATATCAATTACGAACCTTTATATTACAATCCAATAACACTATAGATTCGACGCGGGCATTGACAATCTCGACTTCTTGCTTGGCAGTCGGATCATTCGACTAAGTAAGTAATTTTACACTCAAAGTCAAAAGTATTTTAAGGATATAAGATTCTAGTCAGCCAGGATTAGTTTATGTGTCCTTGTCGCGGCATCATTGGCTCATGAGTATGAAGTATGAGCCCCCAACGAGGTTGAAACCAGTCGGGCTACCTCGTAAAACAATTAAGTGAGTAAGAGAGTTATAATACAAAGAAATACAAACCTCATTAATCAGTTCCCTGACATCCTTCAGCTGTCTGAAGAGTCTGACGAACTTGTTGGACACGTCATTGTGTGCTACGGTCTCTGACTGTTTCTCCCACACGGTGGATGTACAGTGACCCACGGCCCCGCACTCAGCGCCGCGTCTGCCAATCAAAGTCATTATATGATTCATGTGTGGAAGGAAGTTGTGTGGAGTAACTATTGGGAATGTTGTACCTGACTAGGGACTACTATAGTAGGTCTGGGGTATTATCATTACTATGATATTATGAATGCGTGTATGTTTTTCTTTATTTTTTTGTGTTTTCATGATGTCATTTTATGTGTTTGAATGTATGTAGTTAGGAGGCTGGCTTGGTAAAGCCATGTTGGCGTAATTCAGTTACACACACGCATACTTCTACGCATTCTGTCCGGTTGAGAAGAAAAGGGAAAAAGTAGGTACTTAAATAGATATGACAGAAAATAAGCATTGCCATTCAACGTGGCAATGCTGCCAGTCTTCTGGGAACTTTCCCCTGTGATAGTGATGCGGACGAATATTTTGACGCCTAAATTAAGGGTATAATTTTTGTTGTTTTCTTTTTTTTTACTTTCTTTTTATTTCATAGTTTAGTTGTAGTTAATTTTAAGTAGTAGATAGGTAGGTATTAATCACCAAGCAAAAATGTTGTAAACTTGTGACTAAGTCGTCGTTCTCTGACGTGTGCAGATAGTCATTTAATAATGATATTTTTGTTTCCTCATCGAATTTCAAGCTGATTACTTTACTTTTAACGCTTCCCTTATCGACAGGAAAACAAATGACAACATAACAAAATGTAGGAAAAAATCGAAACAATCGTAATTGCCGATACCACTGCCAAAAATATCAAGTAAAATATTCAACAGCTGTTAAGAACAACTTGGAAAACAGTTCTCAACCGAACATAATGATGTTTGAAATATCAGTTTCATTCATTTAATGAACTGTGTGGAAGTTTATTTCCCCCTGTACACACGACTGTGACTAACCGGACGCGGACGTAGGTAATCGATTGTCAATACTCTTTAAATTATTACGACCGTTCCACTGTTTCACTACACAAGTGCAGAAACTTCAATATTACTTGAATAAATAATATCGTTTGCATGTTGCAACAATGTTAAGAGAGCCAGGTCAACGATTTAAATAGTTTTATCGTTACATAAATAAATAATTTATTTATTAAGTACTAACTTGTTAGTAGAGAAACTAATGAATGATTTAGACATTCTAGAATGGTAATAAATGTGAAATGGAATAAAGGGACTAGAATGATCAAAGTATGGTGCAGTTACTTAACCATTACTTTCATATTTATGTTTGTTCAATTTATAGTGAGTCAGAAGGACTGAGTAATTAGACAAATCTTAATGAATGAGTAGGTAAACTTACAAATAATTATTCTGAGTAAATAACTAATATTGTATTGATTTATACTTGTACAGACACCAACTATATGTATCGAACTCAAGTATTTATAGTTTAAATAACAAAAACATAGCAAAGAAATATGATAACTAACTACTGAAATTGTCAAGACTGCCTCATTGGCCGAGTGGTCGCAAGTGCGACTGCCGGGCAAGGGGTCTCGGGTTCGATTCCCGGGTCGGGCAAAGTATTACTGGGTTTTTAAAAATCTCAGTAGTAGCACGGAGTCTGGAAAAATGTGCCCGGTATATATGGCAATAAATAGGCTCACCCCCTATTACATGGGACTCATAACATAAATAGTGAAAAGTGGGTGTTACATTGTACAGTGGCATTAAGTGCCGAAATGTGCAACTCTGCCTACCCCTTCGGGGATAAAAAGGCGTGATGTTATGTGAAATTGTCAAGAAGAATCATACTAAGGTCAGACTCGAGTTTGATCAGAAAGAAAGATTTAACTGTGCAAATTGTATAGTGTTATAACAAGGTGCTACTGTTGGAACTGGTACTGTGAATAATAGACTTATTGTCATGAGAACTTACTTGAGGCTCTGACACCATACTGATGGGCCTTTGGCACACTCCTTTGGTACTTGTCGCGCAAACGACAAATCTGCGGACAGAAAACAAAGATGAATCAAAGTGACACAAGTTGGCTTATCTCCGTTTAATGACAAAATAATAAAAATAACAGCAAAACAAGTCAGGCGGGGTCAATGCTGTTTATCACTGTAATTCAACACAATTAGTAGCTTGTGGCGTGAACACTGAAATTGATAACGGAACAAACGGATGGTAGGACGTACTAGTCTACTGTTTCTCTGCTCCCATAAACTAACGAATGACCATTGTTATTTATGTTTGATGACGATAGAAGGATTAATTAATATTTAGATATTGCAGAATCTGCCCATTAGCTATTGGTTTCTTTTTTAGAAAAAATAATTTATATTTGTCGATATAATAAAAAAAATATTACTTTGGCAATATCATAACATAAACTGTTAGTAAAACTCAGCAGAAGTACAAATTATTTTGCTAGTTACATACTGAAAGTATTGTATTGTTTACAATGGTAACTGTACCATGACTTCTAATTTAAAATTGTATATACCACATGATGTTAAACCAGATACTTTCTGTAGTTATCTTACTTCTTCTTAATAGCAAGTATATGTTTTTGCCACAAGTGCTAATTATCATTACACTGTCCAACTAACTAAGTTATTACTAACTTTTTAATATCAAAATAATAGTAAAAAATAAATTTATACTCAGTTTTAATGATTATAAAATATTTATTATTTCGAGAATGCTCTACTGACATAATAACAACATTATTAGATAAATTTAGAACAATAGGTAACTGTAATAAAGTACATAAAAACTATGCAGCCGCTAGCTAGTCAATACCAGCAATGATCCAACGCTAATTAATGAGCCTGCATTCGTAATACCGCGATGAAATCACTATCCAACACGAAAATAACAATAATTAACTACTGCGGGTACTTACGACCCAGGAAAAATATTAGAAGTACAATTTAATGTATTCTGTTTACTTGCGATTTAAGTGAAGTAAGTAAACCACGAAAATATTACAAGGACGTAAATAATTACAAGAATAAACGTAAATCTAAGTACATATTGTTATTACTCACCTGTACAACAAAAGAGTGCAATTAGACAAAACACAAGGGTGTTTGTCATTTTTAAAGTTTTCGTTTTATCTCCTGCGGTCCAGGTTGCTTCTCTCCCCACAAAATACTAAACAAATACTGTATAATTTCACTTTGTTTGGAAGTTATTGCGTATCGATTGATAAACAATTGTCAAGTCACTCAGGCGACCAACATTCGACGTCTGACTGGCAATTTAGCTCCTGTCAAACGAATAGTGATGGGATCATAGGACGGTGGTAGTGGCACCAATAACGACAACTGCGTTATCAACAGTTGCAACAAAAATAACTTAGTAAACAGATTTTATTATCTACAGATCAATATACAAGTACTAGGAACTATGCCTTGTATATGAAGCCGTTCTAAAGATTTAATAATAGGGTACATGAGTAATTTAATTTTAATGTACGTCTGGTAGATTATTTAAAACCATCAGACACATATATTTTTTATTTTCTTACAGAAACAAATACTTTTGCCGACATATTGATTTGAAATATCCCGTGACGTCACTTGTTACCTACAAGTTATATACGTAGAAATTACGTGCCCCCACTCCTAAACTTTAATTGGTTTTATCTATCATATCATACATGTCTAAAATTTTAGTCATTACCTAACTAACGGAATAATAAGATTTTTAATTTTCATTCTTTGTCATTATCCTTATTCATCATCGGTGTTGATAAAAAGCAACTTATATTATTTGACTACATTCTATAATAACCTTATAATATTTGAAACTATAACTTAATGGTATAAGCTGTGATGTTTAAATTTTCTCAATAAATAGATGTTAAGTTAATATGCTATTTAAATAATTGTATTAGTTTTTTTCTTTATATAGTGGTTATACTTGAATTGCAAACATTTATTATGACACACACAACAATGATGGAAAATTCCCGGCATAGATTTTTTAACAAAACTACGGTCTACGAATCAAAATTACATACTTGATATAAAATAACTCGTTATTAATCATATAGTAGTTATTGGAAGTAGTGGAATTAAAGACATCACTACACCCATATTTGATAACAGCGCCATCTTGTAGTAAATAATAAACTTGCAAATGCAATAACAGCGCTGCGACTACCCGCTACGAGATGGCAAAGCAATCACGCTCATAGAGTTGTAGCTATTGGATAACAGATGGCAGAACCAATGGACTAAAAATGTAATTGACAAAGTTGGAAAAACATTTTTAGTATACATTATATACCTATATTAACAGGTATTTTATTATTAACCTATGTTTTCTTTTTTTTACTTTCGTTTTATTTAATAGTTTGGTTGTAGTTCATTTTAAGTTGTAAATATTTATGTAGATAAATAAAAGATGTAGAATAGGTACCTACTTTAGCTCTTCGAAGACATAGCACATTTCAAGTTTTATGAGAAATGAAATGTAAAACATCGAATTATACACAACTACTATATTTATCTACTTTGGAAATTATAACTTCAAATATATTAACAGGTGTAAGTAATTTTTAATTTTTTTGAAGAGAGATAGATATTACTGATATAATAATGGTTTTTCTTTCTTTATAAATTAATTTATTGAAGAAACTTTGAGGGCACCAAATTCAAATAAATTTTAATGAATACAAAAACAGTTAATTAATCAGTTTTTAATGTAAACTTAACATTGCTTAACTCTCCAGTCTAGTAGTTCTATAGGTCTCCTTGACAATAAAATCTTACTAAGTAGGTACTTACCTACCTACAGAACAGCGAGGGTTAACTTTATTTTTCCGAATCATAGAATTGGATTGATTGAAAGGATTTCGTTAAGAAACTAATTAGGTAGGCATCTAATATTCTCTTGGCCAATTATTTTTATTTTATAAACATCATGTAATCACAAAGTAGCCTTAACCGACCGAGCTTGCATGAAAAGACTGATGACTGTTGATGAAGCGAAAGAGGTATGTAAGAATCGTAGTAATTAACGTACCATAGTCTCTGCCTACCTCCATGGGAAACATGGATTATGTGTGTAATCACACCTACCTACCTCAATTTTTTTTTTATAGTAACACCATTTACTTAGCAACACCATCATTAGCTTATACGTAAGTGCCCTCTGCTGAGCAAAGGCATGAGTATACGAACTGAGTACCTAAATGAAGAAGGAATGACCATTAATCACCACGCTTGATCTAGGTAGATTTTATCGATTTTAATCTTAGCATGATTTAAAATTATATGTCCAGGTTTCCTCACGATGTTTTCCTTCATCGTATGTCAGTTTCACCTTTTAAATTAACTAAAAATCGCGGGTTTCTCACGTGAATACGCGAAAGCGCACGCTGCTCATGAGGAAGAACCCCTATGTGGTTCGAAACTAGTAGAGCTTTTCTGATTTTTAGTTACTTTAGTATGTCTCACGATAGTTATTATAAAAACAGTTTCAGCTATGTCTATATAATCTTAGAAAGCACCTAGGTGACACTTGGAAATTTAGTCACATTTCCAGATTTCGCGCACGAATTCTTATGCTTAAAAAAGGACGTTTTAACCTCCGTGCCACCGCGACTAATACATCTACAAAATGTAATGACCTACCTTACCTTACCTAGTTGTTCAGCGCAATCCTCAAGAACGACTAGACCAATCCGCCATTATTTGTGTAAGATTATGTCTATTTCATCGGGTAACGTGGGAAGTAGTTTCGTAAAAATATATTAATCGAGTCAACTATTACTAAAAAATATACCTTATACCTAATAAAATTAGGTATCTAATAGAATTTTAAACGACTCAAATTAGCTACTTGGGAAGTATTTTTTTTTTTTTTTTTTAAGGGGGGAAAATCATCGAATGACTGCTCCCGCCTGGGTGAGGCGGAAGGGAGTGTCAGACTCTTACTGACTAAAAACCACCCCGTTCCTTCTCCTGCACGTCGAGCCGGAGCCCCGGTTACCCGTTAGGTTCTCCGCGACTCCGAATCGGCATCGGCCCTATTGGGCCCCATCTGTGGTGGTCTGATGGCTCTTTGAGGCGCGCGCGGAACGCGACGCGCCGTACGCTCGGGTCTGTTTCTGGTCGGACGGGGAGCCACCCATGCTCGCCGTCCGCAGGCCCGCGCTTACGGTGGCCGGAGATCGTCCCGCGATCCCCGACGCCCGGTGTGTCCTTCGCGATGGCTGGGTCGCGAGGAGGCAGCGCTTCGCTGCCTCACGCGTCCCGCCTCCTCCTTAGCTAGCATGACTGCTTCGCAAAAGGAGGAGACGGCATCCCAGTCCCCCTCGCTCCGCATCATGGCCTGCACTAGGCCCGGACGCGAGAGGTCGCCATCGCCGATCACTTCCCTGAGGGCACGGCGGTGCTCAGCCCACGCAGGGCATTCCGCTACGGTGTGTTCCACCGTGTCCTCAGGGCGGTCCTCGCAGTGATGACACCCGGGCGTTTCCTCCCGCCCCATCAGACACAGGTACCTCCCGAAACTTCCATGTCCGGTGAGGACCTGCGTCAGGCGGTAGGTGAGGACGCCGTAGCGTCTCTCAAGCCACTCCTCAAAGAGGGGACTTACCGCTGCAATGGCAGCGAGCCCAACTTGGGAAGTATAGGTACAAGATATGAGCTCCAAACATTATTATTTATTTTATTATTTAATGTCGTTCTCCTAAAACCGTTCTACAGGTTCTTCCCGCATTCACTATCTAATTGAAGCTCAGCTAAGTCCATCCAAAGAACTTCAAGAACATCAATAGGTACCTACGCATACCTACAGTAACATCGAACAGTAGTATCATATCAAGTAAATATAATATATTAAAGTAGCTAGTACATGTAATCCGAAGCAAGGAAAGGCAACGTCCAATAAGACGTACTCCCATAGAAAAGGACGACACAAAATTGGTAATTCCATTCTCCAGGTTGGTTTTTCGAGACACAATTAGGACATTTTGTTGGAGTTCGGGTCGTGTAATAAAATTAAGGAGACCGTGGCTGGACGGTCGCGGTAAGTCGATGTCTTCGGGCGGCATAAAACAAATCCGACCCGAGCCGGCCCGTGAGGACCGGAACAGAGACCCGTGGAGACTTCTTTGCTATTGCTACTTTATTTTTGTTGTACTTTCTTATGTAAGTATGAGCTGTCTTTTAATTTTACTTTAGTAATGTTTTGCTAATGTCGCTTTTCTTGTAGTCTCAAGTACCTACGACAGCTGAACATGTAGTCTCGGATTTGATGCGCGCCCCGTTAATAAATAAACTTTGAAATTGTATTTGAACTTTGGAAATAGGTAAAACAGGTGTTTAGATAGGTTGTGCATGTGCATAAACTTAAGGAAAGACTGTTATACCTGTTTAGTTTTTAATGATTCGAAAACGATCACAGATGTCGCTGGGTACGGTTACGAGTTTATTTTGGATGCTTATTTTTAGATAGAGATGGTTATAAATACGATTGGCTATTTCATTTTAATTTTTACTTGACCTGTACCATTTCTATAATAGTAAACAGAAATCTATAGTTGATACCTAAAAGTAAATCTGCCATTCTTCTTCTCCAATTCTGCAACAGTAAATTGACTATAGATAGACTCACACACATAGACTCACTTCACAGAAATCATGGTGGCCTGGAGGCTTAAGACGCCCGCTTCTCATGCATGAGGGCGCGGATTCGAAACCTAACTATGGCAAGTACCAATGTGACTTTTTTCCCAGTTATATGTACTTTCTATGATTATTTAGATACTACTGAAAAACGGTGAAGGACAAGGAAATTATCGTGAGGAAACCTAGGCTTACAATTTCTAATTATAAGTCTGAAATCGCCAATCCGCATTGAGCAAGTGTGGTGATTAATGCTCAAACCTAATCCGTGTGAGAAGCGGCCTTTGGTAAGCAGTAGCCAATTATAGGCTGTCGATGATGATGAGACTCACACTGCACGCATCATTAACAGTACCTACCTTCGAGGCCTCAAAATTTATGAAAGCCCCACCGTCTCCACAGTTTCGCACACGTGCACGATGTTCACATATTCTGAATAACACTTGAATAGCGCGT